GGGGGGGGGGTGCAGCACACATCTAAGTGACGAATTCACCATGTTAGAGACCAAGTTTGGTTTTGAAGACTGAGTGAAGTCACTTTTTTTAAGATCTTCTCTCAGAACAGAACATGTTGTTTTTGACTTTTACTTGTGTCTTTATATTCTTCAGAGATTATAAACAGTCCATGGATTGACTCAGGTTTACATTTCACTGCAGTCATACAGTATATATTTATAGCATGAAGTTAAGCTGAACTCCATGTCCATATAAATGACTATTGTCGAGCTCCGTCATGTAAACACGTGAAAACTCCACTGAACTTCAATAAAAACACAATGCAAATTCTCATTGAAGAATTCAAATTCATTAACGCAGTAATGCGATTACTGAACGACAAATTAGCGCTTCACTTGCGTCCCACGCAAGGCCCTGCCACTCACTTTGGAAACCACAGCCTCACAGCAGTGAGATCAGTGCTGACTGTTGAACCGATGCTAAAAATAAAAACTGTTCATTCCGACCGTGGTCTCTATGACGTCAACAAGAGTCACAGACGTATAAATAATTCAGTGAGAACTTTTGTCAGGAGTCTTTCTGCCATCAACACAAACACTCACCAAACCTCCTGACCTCCATCCTAGGATGATTCATCCTCTTCCTCCTCCTCCTCCTCAACTCTTCTCCCTCTGAACACTTCAAGTGTTGGGGATGATTCAGTGTGAAATTACATAACGGCTCACAGTGAGATGTGCTGCAGAGAGCGGTGACAACACACTCGTCTTCCCCTCGACCTCCTTTCCACAAAACACACCTCATCCTGATTGGCTGCAACGCACTGGAAAGTTCAACACACCATGATCAAGGTGACCTTCAAGGACCAGAAGCTGACGAAGATTTGAAGCACCACTAACGAGGATTAATACAAAAAGTTCCTCAACGACACGTTGGCATTATTAGATGATATTTGGTTATTTATTAAGGTTGGACATGAAGTGATAAATGGTTTATATCTACTGACTTGGGTCGTGAAGGTTTATGACTTTTAAAATATGGGTCCCTAGAAAAGAAAGTTTGGGAAATACTGCCCTAAACTCATAACATGAATCAGCCATCAGTCATTACTGATGTCATGGTACCGATGCCGACATGCTGCTTGCCTGGATGCCAGTGTTTTCTTGGGCGAGACACCTAATGCCTGCTTAACACAAGAGTATGTGAAGGCAGCGTGTAAATGGGAAGGCAGACGAAGAAGCTCGGCAAAGAGAAGGGTGTGAAATGTTCAAGTCCAAGTTGGAAAAGGTCACATCATCAACAACTCTGCTTTCATGTGGAACTAGAAATGATTTCTTCTGTTGACTTTGTTAGAGTGAGTGCACACATTATAAAGTGCCATTTGAAAGAGATTGTCAACAACTGTCAAAAACAAATATTCTAAAGATGTCAGAAACCTAAAGCAGACAAGAGAAGTCGATCTTCTACTTTAGCCTCTAGCTTTCTGTTAGCTGGTGTACATTTCTAGGTAACCTTTAAGCAAATCTCTGGGGCCAACTCTAAACTTCTTTCCCT